CCCCGTTTTTGTAAGTCTCGTTTACTGGAGCACAGCCCGTCCTTGCATCTATCGCGTCAGGCGCCTTCCAGAGCCACGCAGACACCCTGTGGCCGCGGCTGACACCGACTATCTAGCCCCTCACGGGGAAAGCTGCGGGCCTCCGCCTGGTGTCAGGGACAAATGCGGGGTTAGCAACGGCATCGCTCCCTCCCCTCTAAGCCTCGTGCTCTCCAGTAAGATCTATGGTTCCCAAACCCTGTGCCATGGGACACAGGTGCGCCTAGAGACCTCGTGTGCTCCAGAGACGGGGGTCCCTCAGCCTGTGGGCTCCCTGGCAGGAGGGCCAGGCGGTCAGTGAGTGAGCGAGACAATGAACGCACGGTGGGGACAGTGAACAAACAGAACAAGTGAAGAGAAAAGGTCTGAGTCTGGGAACTCGTCCAATCTCTCCCCTTCGGGGGCTCACACAGGAGCCCAGAATCCCAGCTCTAAGGGCCCGTTCACTCCATTTAACCCAATGACCACAGAGCCCTTTCCTGCCCCCGGGATCCATGACCATCCCGAGACCCACATGGATCAGCACGTGGGAAGCCTGCCCTGGCCCATTCCCTTGTCCTCACTAAGCAAAAAGAAAGCCGGTGAGGGCGTGGAGGGGCCTGGAAGATAAAGGAAACCGACACAGATGTGAGTCTCAAGGCCCTCAAGACCAAGCCTCAAGGTCATTTTATAATAGAGAAGGGGACCTGTGCCCACTGCCCTGGCCCCGCCCTTTGCACTGGCCCCAAGGGCGAAGCTCTGCAGCTACAGGGCTGCGGGCTGTGGCTGGAGGGGCACCCGATGGGCTCCTGGGGCCCCAGGGGACACTTTCAGGAGCTCCAGAAAGATGCATTCTGGCCACACCTGAGGTCAAAGCTTCCCACCACTGATCATGATGAACTGGGGGAGTGAGCGTGCCGTCGGGGGAGGCGTGCAAGCAGAAGGCGCAGGCTCCCGCAGAGGAAGGGAGCTGCCCTCTCCTGAGACTATCCTGAAACATTCTCTCCTGCTACACTGTGTCCTTGCAAAGGATTACTTTGGATGATCCAGTCATTTTTTAAAAGATGACATAAAGGTACCGACATAAAATGATGCCCCAATACATCGTTAAGTGTGGGGGGCAGAAGTAAGTGGCAGAACAGCTTGGCCCATCTTCATAAAAACAAAAAGTCTCGAGGAAGCGGGAGCCCAGAGAGCGAGCACACAGGTACCACCGAGCAGGAGGTGTCCTGCCTGCACTTGGGTTTTGTTTGCCTTTTGGTAAAAACGTATATAACTTTTGAAATAAAAACAATAATTTTAAAAAGAATCCTAAACTTGGTGGCAGGGGTCACGCGCCCAGGAAAAGGGGGCCGCCCCTGGGCTGAAATGCTGCTGCCCCCGAGGGTCGACGTTTGGCTTCGCAGAATAACCAGTACTGGTGGCTGGCCCTCGGCCCCCGTCCTGGGCCCTGGGCCCTGGGCCTCTGCGAGGCTTTGCCCCACTCGCCGGGGCTCTCCCCCCTCTAGGGGAGGACACAGAGGGGACTGTCCCTTCCCACTGCTCTTGTGCTGCACCCCACAGAGGGGAAAGCAGGGCTGAGTTGAGACTTGAAAATCTCCTGCTTTGTGGAAACCGCAGTGGTTCTGCCGTGAGTCAGGGTTTCCATCCCCAGCAGAGGCCCGCCTCCCCAGGAGCCCCCCGCAAGCACGGGGCAAGTCTGGGCAGGCGCCTCCTCCCCGCTGGCCCTGGGAGAGCAGGAGCCTCCTGCTCGCAGCTGGGCTGGCTCGGGGCCAACAGCAGAGCGCTGGGGCCCCCTCGGCTCAGACGCCTCCCCCAGGGCATGAAAGGGGAGCTTTAGGAACGAAGACTGGGGTTGGGTTCAGGTGAGGGCCCTGTCCTAAGGGGTCGCTGCTCTACGTGTCTTTAAATATCCTGGGGTGGTTCGTAAAAGTTTTTCCGTGCAAACTACCATTTCCAATCGAAGGTCAAGACAGATTTATCTGAGAGAGGGTGAGATGGATTTAAGACGGGACTCGTGGTCCCTTGCTCAGGGGTGATGGGGCAGCCCCGGGGGGGTGGGGGTGACTAGTGGTGGCCGCAGCTCAGATCAGGAGGGAAGTCCTTCTGATCTCAAAGGCAGGACCCAGAAGCTTCCTTGGAGCAGAGGGCAAGGGCAAGCCAGCCGATCTGGACTCAAATGCCAACAGTGACCGAGCCGGGCGGTTACCCTGGGCGACTGCAGGAGGAAGGGCAGTGGCCTCCCGTGTCCGGAGCAGGTAACCCCCCAGCTGCTCCTGGCCCCTCGCTCCGCCCCGGGCGGCTTCTCCAGCCCAGTCAGTCCCACCCGCTCCCATGTGCAGGAAGCCCATGTGGGACCCTCTTTCATTTCCACTGGCCTTCCTCTGATAGCAACACAGTTTTTTTTCTATTGTGGTGAAATACAGGTAACAAAATTTACCGTTTCGACCATTTTAAAGTATACAGATGAGTGGCATTAAGTACATTACTGTTCTGCAAGCGTCCCCACTATCCATCCACAGTTCCATTTTCCCAGCTGAAGCTCTGCCCTTGGACACTAACTCCCCACCCCACCGACCCCTGCTGAACACCCTTCTCGTCTGTCTGTGAATTTGACTACCAATACAGATTATTTTGTTGTTGTTAATCCTTACCTCAGGATATTTTTCCCCATTGATTTTTACAGAGATTGGAAAGGAGGGAGAGACAGAGAGACATCGATGCGAGAAAGACACATCCATTGGTTGCCTCCTGCATGCGCCCTGACCAGGGCTGGGGATCGAACCTGCAGCTCAGGTACATGCCCTTGACTGGGAATCGAACCCGTGACCCTTTGGTGAGCAGGCCGATGCTCTGACCACTGAGTCATGCTGGCCAGGGCCAGGTTATTTTTTTAAAACACTTTCTTAACAGACCAGACACTTCCTGTCACCTTGCTGAAGCCTTGCCCCAAGCCCACAAGCCAGGTATTATGGTTATTATATCATTTTATCAAGAAGGAAATCGAGATTCAGAGGGAGGACGTAAACTCCCTTAGGTCACCTAGTTCAAAACCAGGTGTCTGACTCCACAACACAAGTTCTTTGGTCTACACCAAGGGCTGCTAAATTAAAATATAGCCCTGGGGCCAAACCCAGCCTGCCGATGGATTTTCTGTAAAGGAAGTTTTATTGGGACACAGGAGTGCCCATCTGTGGACATATATGTGGCCGCTTTCCAGCTGCAACCGTGGCCCACGCTGCCTAACACATCTGCGACTCGGCCCTTCACAGAAAAAGCCGGCCGACCTCCGCTCCATCCGCTACGAGGCCCCGCGTTCTAGAGGGGCCCGCGGCTGGTGGCTCGCCCCGCCCGGTGGACCCCGGAGCCTGGCGGCAGTCTTACCAATACAGTTGCCTAGAGCATCTTGTATAAAGCCGCTCTTGCACTGTAGCTTGGGTCTGCAGCGGAAGGATCCCAGAGTATTCTGACAGATAAAATCGGGGAGGCAGTTATGAATACCACTCTGACACTCGTCAATATCTGGTACATCATAAAAAAAGGAAATGGTTAGCAAGAGTCCTGCCAGAAGCATCTTACAACACTTTAAAATCACAAGCAAGTTTTATGTCTTAAATGCTCATCACTCAGACTATAACCCAAAACATGTCAACGGGGAGGTCACGTATTAAAGAGGGCCTGCGTTGGCCAAGCGGTGCTCGCATCGCTAAATCTTAAAAATCCTGACTTTTCTCCCGAGGCCCATGTGAGACAAACTTTCTGCTCTATAATAAATAACCCAGGCATTCTCCTGGCTACATGGCAGTTGTTTTATTTTCATTTCAGTCTGCCCGCATGTTTTGTTTAGATCATGAAGCAATGATCTTGGTGGCAATAAACACTGTCTCCATAAACTCTTTCATTCTGGAGTTGTCACAATGTTACAAACGTGAACTGAACAATGGTGATCCTCATGATCTGAGTGTTGGCTGCCCTTCCCTTGAAGTTCACGGCTGTCAAACGTTCAGAAGTGTATACTCAAAGTTGGCCAAGGCCCTGGGTTCTCAGGCTCCAAACCACCCAGCGCGCCTGCAGGGGCGGGGCGGGCCGAGCGCGTCCGAAGCCCTCGGCCGTCAGGAGGGTGTGCCCCGCTTCTCGGCCACGCAGCCGAGGTTTTCACACAGGCGGTTTGTCGTCTGAAGGGCTGGAAACCCTCAGCGCAAAACTATGTTCTAACAGATCCTCATCAAAGCCTTATCTGCCAAATAACATCTATGGCTTGGCGGGGAAAGGCCTGTGGCCAGAAAGGCCGTGTTTTTAAGCCGTGCAAGGGCGCTTTGAACTTCAAGGAAGCCTAGAATCAGACGCAAGGCAGCTGTTGTGCAAAATACATAGACGTTGTAACAAGCACGTGTGAGCACCTGAAATTCACCCCTGGTCTGTTTTCTAAATGATCCTGCTCGGAGCCATTTCAGAAACCCACCCTCGGCCCTGTCATTAACTCAGCGTTCAGGTCAAGAAGGTAAACCCATGGGTGCATAGCACCCTAGAGCCCAGACCCCGGGAGCCCAAGGCCACCTTCCCACCACATGACGACCCCCGGGGAGGGGAGGATTTTCGACGTGGGCCATTCTGTACCTTTGCAGTCATTGTTGTCTGTGAGCTCATAGCCAGTCCCGCAGCTGCTGTCTCTCTGGCAGCGGAAAGAGCCCACGGTATTGATGCAGGACTCTCCGAGCCGGCAATTGTGGATGCCAGTGATGCATTCATTGACATCTAGGACAGACGGAGCGACGCAGGAGTCACCGGCAGGAAGGGCGCTTTATCAGAAGGAATGCACCGGAAGGCAGAGCGGATCGGGTGCCCCCTCCCATCCAGTCCCCACGCACTGTGTATCAGGCTGTGCACTGGGCAGGAGTCCTGGGCACTCACCGCCGCCCCCACCCCCCATCAAAGCAATGGGTTTTTTCCCCCTGGCAAGTTTCAGATCAAGTGCTCCTTCTGAGCTCCTGATAAGCCAAGAGCCAGGCCAGACTGGAGTCATGTGATCCTTAAAAACCCTAGAAGGGGCTCCATCTTCCGAGGAGGGGCTGAGGGAGGCTGAGGGATGCCACTCGGCAGATCCTGGATTCAGAGGCCGATCAGGCCCCATGCCCAACCCTAGTTCCCAGCACAGGGTTCACATTCTCAAGGACACCATGTGGCACAAACTCTGAGGGATGCCGGGGAGCCGGACCTGGGCTTTTCCCCCATGAATGGGGCCCCGAGCTGGGCAAAGTGGGACCTGCCCTGATGCCACGTAAAGGTACAGGCTCCCGAGTGCTGTCCCTGAGGCACGGGGACCTTACCTTCACAGGAGACACCATCGGGCTGCAGCTGGTAGCCCACAAAGCAAGAGCAGACGACCTCCTCACCGGTGTCCCGGCACTGCTGCTTACAGGGCCCGCCGCCTGCAATCAGAGCGCAAGTGAGCGGAGGCAGGCCACGCACCAGACCGCGTGGTTTTCCCGTTCTGCTCGGGCTCGGCCAGAGAAAATGCCCTCAGGGTGGACGGACACAGACAGGCAGGCCGCCCTGGCCAGACTGGCTCAGTGGTTAGAGCCTCAGCCTGCGCACCAAAGGGTCACGGGTTCAATTCCCGGTCAAGGGCATGAACCTGGGTTGCAGGCTCTATCCCTGGCCCTGGTCTGGGCGCGTTCAGGAGGCAACCAATCGATACGTCTCTCTCACATGGATGTTTCTCTCTTTCCCCTTCCTTCCTTCCCTTCCACTGTCTCTAAAAATCAATGGAGAAAATACCCTTGGGCAAGAATTAACAAAAACAAACAAAAGAGAGCAAGGCAGGCTCCACAGGCCGGAGCCCACCGCACCTTCCCGAGGAAGACCCCCAGGCCCCAGCCCTGGTCTGACAAATCGGGCAGCTGGCAGGGCGGGCTCTATAGCAGTAGCGGAGCTGGAAGGGGCAGGGCAGACAAGAGTGGGACGCTGCCACCAGGCAAAGATATCAAGGGACCAGGCCACACACCTCTCAGGCCGGCCTGCTGCCCCAATCCCACTAGCACTGCCTCAGCTCCGGCTGTCCCCTCACCTGGCCCCCTGAGCAGCCCTGACCACCCCTCCAGCCAGCACGATGCTCCAAGGGCAAACCTCATGGGGACAAACCTCTACCAGGTAAAGATCCTACGAGATACCCTCCGACAGCCG